ATCTGCGCCCATGTACAGGTAATAAATGCTGCTGTTTCAAAGACAAAGACCTCTCTCTGAATTGATGGGACTGGGAAGAAATCAAAAGGTCTAGAGAGGGCTGACAGGCCCTCACTATGGAGTTGACAACAGGGATAACAACCATCCTTTGCTAAGCACATACTTCCTCCAAGCAATAAGTACTTTATGTAGATTACTCCAAGTAACCCTCACAAACACCCAGTAACATGTTTTATGCAGAGAAAGCCACCACTCAGAAAGGTTAAGTGGCTTGCTTGCCTTCAGCCACACAACTGGAGACTTTGCCAGGATGTGACCCCAGGTCTGCCACATTCCAAAGCCTTTTCTCTCAAGCGCCACCTCCCACCTCCAAATTGTGATTGATGGGAATAAGCCCGAGAGTGCGGACAGGGAGGGAGGCCCGGCTTACCCTTGGCTGCTTACCCTTGGCTGCGGTAGGCGGCGCATCTCTCGAGCGGAACCCTCAGCACGCCATCGCTGAGCCCCACGAAGAGCGCGCGGGCGCTGTGCAGGATCTGCAAGCTGCGCAGGGGCTCGCGGCGCCCCGGCGGCAGCACGCGCAGCTCCTCCAGGTAGCAGCCTCGGAGGCTTCGGCTGGCAGTAGACAGTGCCTTCAGGATGGTTCCTGACTCTGCGGGGGACAAACGCAGGTGGCCTGAAGCCCTAGAGCCTTGCAGCCCCAGCCCCTCTCCTTCATCTCCTCCCCACCTGGGGCCTAGGGTGGCCTGAGCAGGCTTACCGGTGCCGATGTAAAGCACATGATAGAGCGTGTCCTTGGCCTGCACAAGGTCCACCACGAGGTGTGAGAAGCGCACGCTGTCCTGGGTGACACAGGGTTCAGGTGTCACTGGCTGCACGGCCTCGCTCATGAGGAACAGTCGCTGCGCATCCTGAAGGCTGCGCTCAGTCAGGTTCTCGTTGGGGCCCACCTCAGCTAGGGTGCCACACTGCCACGGAAAGGGGCAGAGGAGGGGGGTCATGCGTGAAGGCTGGGGCTACCTCAGTCCCAACCCTCCTTCCCTTCCGTATTGGAACCCAGGCTGCAAAGGGCAGACTTCATTTCTCCAATCCTCACCTCCCCTATAAGAAGTTCCCCCTGGTTTCTAGGAACCCCTTCCCATGGAGGGGTGCCTCTTCCTTGGGAAATAAGAAAGACTTGGGCTGGGGAGATAAGGTAAGAGGAGCAAAGGAGACTGCTATTTAAAAATAGATCATCTGAGTGTGGAGAAAAGTGTCCTGTGAATTACACTGTTACTGTCGGTGTCCCTCCCCCATGTTGGGCTAAGCCCTGCCTTCCCTCTCCTCTTCCCCTGCCAGCTCAGAGGTTCTTATGCCTTCTGAATCAAAGCTGAAGGGAACTCCCATTTACTGAGCATCTACTACATTTTGCCACGAGTTAGATTCAACTCGTATCAAACAACCCTGCACAAATCTATGAGGTTGATGGTGTTATCCTGATATTCAAGATAAGCAAAAAGAGACTCAAATTGGTGACTTGCTCAAGGTCACACAGAGACAGGGCCAGATCTGGGTCAGGATTATCACACTGGGGATCCTAAGGTCTTTCTCTGCTCCATACTGCCCCCTGGGCTGGAAATGAGATGGAACAAAAATCAACCCATCCTCAGCCCACTGGGCCCTCTGTTCTTTCCCATTCCCCATCCCAGAACCAGGTATGCCCATACCACCCATGACTAGGCCACAATCAACCCTTCTGACACTCGGACACCCTCCAGGCATTTGTACCCACGCTGGGTAGACAGCAATTAGACTCCAGCTGAAATCACTGGATTGGACAAAGATCTTGTGAGTGGTCTCCAAGTTCCCTACACTGAGTCAAGCTGAGGTCCCACCTCCCTGCCTCCCTGGAGTTGTAAAGTCACATTTAGAGATAATCTAGAGCAGGCTCCACAGCCTCCCATCCACTCTCCTTTCTCACCCACGATCTTCAGGGAGCCATCACAGGCCCCAGAGATGGGTGTAGACCAACAGGAACTAGATGGTGTATGTCTGCTCTGAGCAGCTGGGAATCAGCCTGTGGCTGGTAGTCTGGGGGAAAGTGGTATAAAAGAGAGGGGAAGCAGAGCTGTACCTGGAAATTGGGGATGGGGTTGGCGATGGGGAGCCAGGCAGCCCTGGGGTTCTCCTGGTAGCGAAAAGGGCCGTTGAAAGCCTGGGAGATGGCACTGAGGTTGAAGGCGCAGACAGCAGAAGCAGCGATGCTGTTTCTGAAAGGCAAGAGATGGTGGGAAGCTGCCCTCCCTGCAAGCTCCTGCAGCACCAGTACCAGCTGCTGCTGAGGCGATTCTGATTCATGGTGACCTCATGTGTGTCAGAGTGGAACTGTGTTCCACAGAGTTTTCAATGGCTGATTTTTTAGTAGTAGATCACCAGAGGCCTTGGCACCTTTCTCTTAAATCTCAAAGCCAGCTGTCCCATCACAGTCTGGCATGTCTCCAAGGCTTATTAAGCACCTCTGATGAGCTTGATACCTTCTGCACTGTGGGGATGTCACAGGAGGAAGAGACAGGTCCTCACACTTTGGAAACCCCCAGGGGAAAGACCTACTGACCAGGAGCACTGGTAGGTCCTTTGCTGCTACTTCCTCGTCTCCTTCCTTTATCAAGTGGGAGGATGAGATAAAGTCAATGGTTTTCAAACATTTGGGAGCTACAGTAAGAAATATATTTATATATCACAACTCAGTATTATACAT